TATATCACTCCAGTGTTAATACTAAATTATAATTGTAATTATTTTGCACTATGGCCTATTTATTGCCTTACCTCCATAACTTACTACATTTGCACACATTGTATATAGATTTTCTGTAAGTCGCTCTGTATAAGAGCGTCTGCTAAATGACTAAAATGTACATGTAAATGTGACCAAAACACTGATATAAATGGATGCACTTGCAATTTCGTCAAATTTGTCTCGAGGCTTAAAAATACTTTAATCGGTCTCCTCCCTTTCACCTACACTGATTGAAGTGGATTTAACAAGTGACATCAGTAAGGGATCATAGCTTTCACCTGGATCCACCTGGTCAGTCTGTCATGGAAAGAGCAGGTGTTCCTAATGTTTTGTACACTCAGTGTATACTGCCCAAATGTTTATAAGAAAAGTGGATATAAAATGAAAGATTACTCTCCTGAAGTTTTAAGACTTTATTTAAAACATGTTTTAATAACACATCAAAATATTTGATACAATATGTGAAAGGTCCAGACTGGGCTTAATGGGTACAGAGTGTACCTTTAAACCCATGGGTGTTCCAAATAAGCCCACCTCTTAAATAATCCATTTTAATTCATTTCCAAATGTTCAAAACGTACAAACTTACATTTCTTAGGTAAAATGTGATTATATTAATCTCCCCTAATGTTATTAAAATAAACGGATCATTACTATTCATCATGAAAGTTGAACTTATGTCCAGTCGTATCCACAGAGATCAATGTGGACTTAGGCTTTAGTTCCTGTTGACCAGTACACACCTGATTCAACAAATCAACTAATCATAGACTTCAATCAAGACATGATTAGTTGAATCAGGTGTCATATTGCTTGGTTAGAACATAAATCTGGGCCCGCTGTGGATAAGAAGGCATTCAACAAAGACAATAACACACAGCTTTCAAATAATTATCTGAAAGTTGATTCACATTTGCTGTACTGCTGTTCTTGTTAATTAGTTCAAATTGTCTTCCTAACGTGGATGAATGGAAGACAACCATATGACTATGCCCCCACCCATAAGTACATGAGTAGTTGCCCAATGGTCATCTTGTCCCTCATTTGTTTGCATTTCTAACCACCACTTGTAGGTCTTCTATCCCTCAACCCTGATCTTATTCTTCTAGCTCTGCATCAATGACTACTGTCCTCTCCAAACGTCTTGGAGAGAGAGTTTTCTAACTGGTTCTAATCTTGGTAAAGGCACCATGGCTAGATGCACAATGTGCATATCTGTAGTTTTTGTGTGTTTTAATCAACATAAATCTGAACCAAAAACATATTTATGCTCATGTTCATTGAATATTAGGGAAATCAATACACTATCCCCATGGGTTTCAATGCAAATAGGAGCATACTGGGCTTAATTGGAACAACAGTGATTTGTGGTGAAAAGAGAGAATAGCAAAGTCTACTCATAAAATATTTGGAAACTATTGGTTTGCGGAATAAATATACACTATAGACTACAATATTATGCAAAGTTAGTATTGATCATATTGAACAATAATGCTTTATTGTCATTTACATTCTGAATAGAGCAGTGCTCTCCAACCCTGTTCCTGGAGATCTACCGTCCTGTAGGTTCTCACTCTAACCCTGTTCCTGGAGATCTACCATCCTGTAGGTTCTCACTCTAACCCTGTTCCTGGAGATCTACCATCCTGTAGGTTCTCACTCTAACCCTGTTCCTGGAGATCTACCATCCTGTAGGTTCTCACTCTAACCCTGTTCCTGGAGAGCTACCGTCCTGTAGGTTCTCTCTCTAACCCTGTTCCTGGAGATCTACTGTCCTGTAGGTTCTCTCCAACCCTGTTCCTGGAGATCTACTGTCCTGTAGGTTCTCTCCAACCCTGTTCCTGGAGAGCTACCGTCCTGTAGGTTCTCTCTCTAACCCTGTTCCTGGAGATTTACTGTCCTGTAGGTTCTCTCCAACCCTGTTCCTGGAGATCTACTGTCCTGTAGGTTCTCTCCAACCCTGTTCCTGGAGAGCTACCGTCCTGTAGGTTCTCACTCTAACCCTGTTCCTGGAGATCTACTGTCCTGTAGGTTCTCTCCAACCCTGTTCCTGGAGATCTACTGTCCTGTAGGTTCTCTCCAACCCTGTTCCTGGAGAGCTACCGTCCTGTAGGTTCTCTCTCCAACCCTGTTCCTGGAGAGCTACCGTCCTGTAGGTTCTCACTCTAACCCTGTTCCTGGAGATCTACTGTCCTGTAGGTTCTCTCCAACCCTGTTCCTGGAGATCTACTGTCCTGTAGGTTCTCTCCAACCCTGTTCCTGGAGAGCTACCGTCCTGTAGGTTCTCTCTCCAACCCTGTTCCTGGAGATCTACTGTCCTGTAGGTTCTCTCCAACCCTGTTCCTGGAGAGCTACCGTCCTGTAGGTTTTCACTCTAACCCTAATTTAACACACCTGGTTCTAATAATTAGCTGGTTGATAAACTGAACCAGGTTAGTTACAACTGAGGTTGGAGCGAAAACTTACAGGAGGGTTGCTCTCCAGGAACAGGGTTGGAGACCCCTGGTATAGAGGGAATGCTTTTTGTGCTACTGTACCCTTTAAGCCCACCTGAGATAAATGTCAAATTGACCAAAATGGCATTTATGTATAACAATGTAAGGTTCATTTAACAGTAAAATAAGACAATGTGTTTAAAAATGTAAGCTGTGAATGCCTGAAATATATTATCTTGTAGTTCACCAAGTTATGTTGCTACTGTGAGACTATGACATGCAGGCACGACTGATAGCATGAAGACCCCATGTTTTAAATTGGCAAGAAATAATGAATGATCATAAAATATGCTATCATGTGCATATATCAACACATTCATCTCTTCATTTTAGATAAAATATGATCACTTATCTTAGAAGGTAAAAAATGTGTCTATCTGAGGGTAGCCTTTGAAATGTGGAACTTACACATAATTGTCAACAACTTAATAAAACATCTGATTGGCTTAGAATAAAAAGGCTATGGATATAACAACCAGATGAATTAGTTGAAACAAACAGCAGAAAATGTTTTTTTTATTTGAATCCAAATATGAAAGTGGGCTTAATAGGTACGCTTACCCTAAAGCTCCTAAACTGCTGCGTAAATTCTCCTAACCTGATACGAAAATTCAATTTTAACATAAGTTGTATCCCATCTAGACAACCCTAGAATGGTCCCACCTGATCATGCCTCCTCCTGCCTGCCTTCCGTCTTTGAGGACATGTATTTCCATTGTTCTAGCGATCACTCGACTATCTTGTCAGTATCATAGAAAGTATTGGACCTAACTAAGAAAGCGGCTTCTTTCAAACACTTTTATTTTTATTTTCTCTCTTTCTCCATTCTCCCCTGCAGCTTAGCTACTGAAGTCCTGATCAGGATTCGCGGTCTGTCAATGAGGAACTACAGGCTCATCTTTTGCCATAACCTGAAGCAGCCATAGATGACCATTCGATTCACTGCTAGTGAGTGGTGCTGAAGATAAGGTGAACTACTGGGTGTTTTAAGTGCTGAACGGTGAGTACTGCAACAACCACAACAACAACCCATAGCATCTGGCCATTTAGAACAAATGGAGAGCCACAACACACTGCAGTGGTTGAATACAGGCTGCAGTCAGTCATTGATGTGTGAATGGGTCAGATCTGGATTTGTTTTAACAGACTAATATGCCCTAGGCTGACCTGTATTATAAACTGGGTGGTTCGAGCCCTGAATGCTGATTGGCTGACAGACGTGGTATATCAGACCGTATACCACGGGTATAACAAAACATTAATTTTTACTGCTCTAATTATGTTGATAACCAGTTTATAATAGCAATTAGGCACCTCTGGGGTTTGTGGTATATTTCCAATATACTACGGCTATGGGCTGTATCCAGGCACTCCGCGTTGCGTCGTGCTTAAGAACAGCCCTTAGCCGTGGTATATTGGCCATATACCACACCCCCTCGGGTCTTATTGCTTAAGTAGAGCCCATCTTTAGGGAGGTCACTGGCCTGGGTAGTGTGTGTGTGTGTGTTTAACAGGGCATAGAACACTGAAACCTGTCACTGAAATGTAGCCTAGCTAGCGCTCCAAGCCCAGGCACCTGCTCCCATTAGCATTGTAACTATCTATGCCTGTTCTGATGGCTGTCAGGCAGACACTTGCACATGACACTACTTACATAACCCACTCACTCCAAGCTAGCTGGAACCTGATAACAACCACTGGCTCAGAGCTAGCTGGGTCTGGTAACAACTACACTGGCTCAGAGCTAGCTGGGTCTGATGATAACTACACTAGCTCAGAGCTAGCTGGGTCTGGTAACAACTACACTGGCTCAGAGCTAGCTGGGTCTGGTAACAACTACACTGGCTCAGAGCTAGCTGGGTCTGGTAACAACTACACTGGCTCAGAGCTAGCTGGGTCTGGTAACAACTACACTGGCTCAGAGCTAGCTGGGTCTGGTAACAACTACACTGGCTCAGAGCTAGCTGGGTCTGGTAACAACCACACTGGCTCAGAGCTAGCTGGGTCTGATAACAACCACTGGCTCAGAGCTAGCTTGGTCTGATAACAACCACTGGCTCAGAGCTAGCCGGGTCTGATAACAACCACTGGCTCAGAGCTAGCTGGGTCTGATAACAACCACTGGCTCAGAGCTAGCTGGGTCTGATAACAACCACTGGCTCAGAGCTAGCTGGGTCTGATAACAACCACTGGCTCAGAGCTAGCTTGGTCTGATAACAACCACTGGCTCAGAGCTAGCTTGGTCTGATAACAACCACTGGCTCAGAGCTAGTTGGGTCTGATAACAACCACTGGCTCAGAGCTAGCTTGGGTCTGATAACAACCACTGGCTCAGAGCTAGTTGGGTCTGATAACAACCACTGGCTCAGAGCTAGCTTGGTCTGATAACAACTACACTGGCTGCCCTGTGTGTCTTTAAAATGGTGGGACCTTCCCCTTCGGCTGCCCTGTGTGTGTTTGGATATGTATGTCGGATGGAGAACACAGCCCGTGACAGTCTCTCCCTCTCTGTGTCTCTTCGGTGTGTGTTTGGCGGTGGCGGGCATCCAGACCTTCGGAAGCAGCTCGGCTGTGGAAGCGATGAGGAAGAGCCTCTCTCCTTCCCCCAGCAACTCCCTGACACCAGCCAGGGTTTTTGGGGTTCCCCTAGATGAGGTGCAGCAGAGAGGCCAGCCAGGCCAGGAGGTCCCCCTACTGGTCAGGCACATCGTAGAGTACATCGAGGAGCACGGTGAGTGGGACATTCACAAACTGTATTTCTAGCTACTCAGGCATCAAACGGGAGCCAGTACTTCGTCAAATACCTTATGTCCTGTTTGTGTCTATCGCCCGAGTGCTACACAGGAGAGCTGCACAGATGGGACCTCCAAAATACATGCTCTCTCTCTGGCAAATGAATCACCTCATTGAGCATCACATTTACCTTAGGGTATATTTTTATGTGCACAGTAAATCCCATTATTCTGCCACTGTCTTGTTTTATATCGTCGTGGATTGTTTTGACAACTCCCTCCGGTACTTTAGATGAACATGTACCTGTCATCATTTCAGCCTCTGTATCAATCCCCACTGGCGACGCTTCTACTTGATTGACATTAAAACACAGATGATAGATGGTGTACGTTATTATTTAGGAAGAATCTTCTCATGTTCCATATAGCCTAGCCGAACTAGTGGCTGTGGTTTAAGAAGAGCAGAAAAGAAACAGTTACAGTCATGACTGTCCTCCTAGCAACACGATAAACCAAAAATGTAGTTTGGAGAGATCCTCTCTGTGATAAGCTGAACTCTACATGCACTGCGATCAAAGATGTGCTTCCTCCGTTGCATAGCTTTTTTTGCCAACCTCAACTCCTTTAAACTATGAAAGTATGGGCGTAGGGCAAAAAATGAGCTAGTCAATCCAATGTAGGCATAATGCTGCAACTCTACAGGCGTAAACATCCATTCAGTTCCTATTACCATGACAGGGATTTTCACTTCCTCCTATGCATTTCATCTTGGTTTATCTCCAGGTAGCTCACCAGTCAACTCAATTCCATTTGCCATCAGGCAGACCTGGTGGTTATGTAATACACGACACCCCTCCCACACACACACCTTTCATTCCCCTGCCTGTTGCCATATTAATGATAATTGTGCAGTCCAGAAGTTAATTTGAATCTGTCTGGACTGCACAATGGGATGCCATCACTGTGACTTAATAAGACCTCTGTGCGCAGCAGGAGGCCAGGCCAGCGAGATGCTGCTGGAGCCCCTTTGGGGTTAGTTAGGCTGGGTATGGAGGGGAGGTGGGCAGGGGGCCTGCTGCTGGAGCCCCAGTGGGGTTAGTTAGGCTGGGTATGGAGGGGAGCTGGGCAGGGGGCCTGCTGCTGGAGCCCCAGTGGGGTTAGTTAGGCTGGGTATGGAGGGGAGCTGGGCAGGGGGCCTGCTGCTGGAGCCCCAGTGGGGTTAGTTAGGCTGGGTATGGAGGGGAGGTGGGCAGGGGGCCTGCTGCTGGAGCCCCAGTGGGGTTAGTTAGGCTGGGTATGGAGGGGAGGTGGGCAGGGGGCCTGGTCTGGGCCAGGGCACATACTAGAGCGCTCTCCCTTACAGTTACCGCCCACTGTTTTCCTTAACCAGGCACAAACCAGAGTTGTGGAATGACATGACAGTGTAATGATTGTGTTCTCTGCTTCCTGGTTGGGGACTTCCTTGTGTACAGTACACACCCCCTGCTTCAATAGTGGGAATTGATTCAACAGACAGGCAGGATGTCATCTTGCTGCTGTATCTGGAAAGAGAGGAAGCCACTAGCACAACCAACCAACAATCACTGAAAAGGATTGTGGGTAAAATAAAAATCCTTCCTCCCCAAAATTAATACGCTCTGTGATTGAGCTGTTAGTACATCTGTAGTACCACTACAAATATAGGAAATGGTGCAATTTCACCCATTTGAGAAATGACAAGTTGAGAAGTTTATTTGTGTAATTAAATCACTGTGGGATCTGTTTGAGAAAGTCAAGCGGCCATTCTACTCATTCAAAGTGAATGAATGCTGTATTCACAGTCCTCATTGATATGGTCCGTAGAGAGGATTAATTCATCAAGAACTGTTAAGCGGACTGAGCCAGTGATTGACTGCTATCCTCTGTGCCTCCGTGTTGCTCTCAGGGCGTCTGGATCTGGAGGGGCTGTTCCTGGTCAACGGTAACGCGGAGCGGGTGGAGTGGCTACGGCAGCGCTATGACTCTGGGGAGGAGGTGGACCTGGAGAAAGAGGCTGACCTAGCCTCGGCCGTCAGCCTGCTCCGTCTTTTCCTGCAGGAGCTCCCAGAGCCCATCATCCCTGCAAGCATGCAGGCCCACATCCTGCAGCTCTACCAAGGTACGTTAATCTTAGTCATCCTCCATCTTCATCATTCACCTCTCCACTGTCCCCTACCTCTTCATCGTCCTGTTTATGTTCTGTCGATCTGACCTGTACTCCCTATACAGGTGCTGCACATTATTCCTTCTCTCTTCATCCTCCCCTTCTCTGCCTTTCCACCTGCCCTCTCACCTTAATTTCTTCCCTTGGCAGCATCACCTATAAACCCCTGTTGTGTGTTGTCCAGACTACAGCAGTGAGGAGGAGGTCGCCCGCAACATGAAGTACTTCCTCCAGCAGCTGCCTCAGGTCAACTACAGCCTGCTACGCTTCCTGTGCCGCTTCCTGTCCAGCGTGGCCTCACTCCAGGAGGAGAGCTGGAGCGTTGGAGCCCTTGCCGCCGTCTTCGGACCCGACATCTTCCAGTACGACCAACAATAGTGACAGCACATCAACTGTCCATCCTAAATACCGATCTCCTGATCTATCTCCATACCTAAGGCCTATAGTACTTGTTAATACCTGCATATTGATGGCTCATTCACTTTGCTGCCACTCACAGGGTTTTTTGCTCAAGTGGTGATAGAGCACAAATTATATTGAATTAGAAACTGGGTGGTTTGAGCCCTGAATGCTGATTGGCTGAAAGCTGTGGTATATGAGACCGTATACCACGGGTATGACAAAACATTTATTTTTACTGCTCTAATTAAGTTTATAACCAGTTTATAATAGCAATAAGGCACCTCGGGGTTTGTGGTATATGTCCAATATACCATGGCTAAGGGCTGTATCCAGGCACTCCGCATTGCGTCGAGCGTAAGAACAGCCCTTAGACCGTGGTATATTGGCCATATACCACACCCCCTTGGGCCTTATTGCTTAATTATATAACGTTAATGTATATTCTCAAATAAATAGCACACCCAGATAATCTTCTAGACTGGAGGTCATCTGTAGCCAATGCTCTGAAAACAGCCGTGTTCTGTTGACTTCAGGGAGAGAACAGCTGTTCTGTCAATGCCAGAATCTAATTATAATACCACTAGCAACATACATATGTTTGAAATGTATATTTAATTGTTGTGTACTTACTAACGTGATGTTATTTCTTAGTCATCTGATGTGATGACTATCTGAAGTCAAACTTAATGATGCAATAAGTTACTACAGTGGGGAAAAAAAGTATTTAGTCAGCCACCAATTGTGCAAGTTCTCCCACTTAAAAAGATGAGAGAGGCCTGTAATTTTCATCATAGGTACACGTCAACTATGACAGACAAATTGAGAAAATAAAATCCAGAAAATCACATTGTAGGATTTTTTATGAATTTATTTGCAAATTATGGTGGAAAATAAGTATTTGGTCACCTACAAACAAGCAAGATTTTTGGCTCTCACAGACCTGTAACTTCTTCTTTAAGAGGCTCCTCTGTCCTCCACTCGTTACCTGTATTAATGGCACCTGTTTGAACTTGTTATCAGTATAAAAGACACCTGTCCACAACCTCAAACAGTCACACTCCAAACTCCACTATGGCCAAGACCAAAGAGCTGTCAAAGGACACCAGAAACAAAATTGTAGACCTGCACCAGGCTGGGAAGACTGAATCTGCAATAGGTAAGCAGCTTGGTTTGAAGAAATCAACTGTGGGAGCAATTATTAAGAAATGGAAGACATACAAGACCACTGATAATCTCCCTCGATCTGGGGCTCCACGCAAGATCTCACCCCGTGGGGTCAAAATGATCACAAGAACGGTGAGCAAAAATCCCAGAACCACACGGGGGGACCTAGTGAATGACCTGCAGAGAGCTGGGACCAAAGTAACAAAGCCTACCATCAGTAACACACTACGCCGCCAGGGACTCAAATCCTGCAGTGCAAGACGTGTCCCCCTGCTTAAGCCAGTACATGTCCAGGCCCGTCTGAAGTTTGCTAGAGTGCATTTGGATGATCCAGAAGAGGATTGGGAGAATGTCATATGGTCAGATGAAACCAAAATATAACTTTTTGGTAAAAACTCAACTCGTCGTGTTTGGAGGACAAAGAATGCTGAGTTGCATCCAAAGAACACCATACCTACTGTGAAGCATGGGGGTGGAAACATCATGCTTTGGGGCTGTTTTTCTGCAAAGGGACCAGGACGACTGATCCGTGTAAAGGAAAGAATGAATGGAGCCATGTATCGTGAGATTTTGAGTGAAAACCTCCTTCCATCAGCAAGGGCATTGAAGATGAAACGTGGCTGGGTCTTTCAGCATGACAATGATCCCAAACACACCGCCCGGGCAACGAAGGAGTGGCTTCGTAAGAAGCATTTCAAGGTCCTGGAGTGGCCTAGCCAGTCTCCAGATCTCAACCCCATAGAAAATCTTTGGAGGGAGTTGAAAGTCCGTGTTGCCCAGCAACAGCCCCAAAACATCACTGCTCTAGCGGAGATCTGCATGGAGGAATGGGCCAAAATACCAGCAACAGTGTGTGAAAACCTTGTGAAGACTTACAGAAAACGTTTGACCTGTGTCATTGCCAACAAAGGGTATATAACAAAGTATTGAGAAACTTTTGTAATTGACCAAATATTTATTTTCCACCATAATTTGCAAATAAATTCATAAAAAATCCTACAATGTGATTTTTGGATTTTTTTCCCTCATTTTGTCTGTCATAGTTGACGTGTACCTATGATGAAAATTACAGGCCTCTCTCATCTTTTTAAGTGGGAGAACTTGCACAATTGGTGGCTGACTAAATACTTTTTTTCCCCCACTGTATATTATTGTAAGGTGTGATGGTTGGGATAACAGCTGATCTGAGGTCATTTCCTCTCTGTTTCTGTACTGTAGTTTAGACATGGACGTGGAAGGCCTTTCAGGTATGAAGGTTGATAACAGCTGATCTGAGGTCATTTCTTGTCTGTATACTGTAGTTTAGACACCGATGTGTGTTTATGATAACTGCTGATCTGAGGTCATATTTTCTGTAACTCTAGTTTAGACACGGACGTGGAGGACCTGAAGGAGCAGGAGTCAGTGAGCCGCATCCTGGCGGAGCTGCTGGAGAATCTGGAGGAGTTCTTTGACTCGGAGGACGATGACGTTTCCACTACCAACGACTACAGCTCCATCAACCAACAGGTAAGGCCCTTCTCTCCGTTATCCCCTAGAGATGTCTTCTATTCTGGGCCTAATATACAACCTCACTCACCCTACTGCATTTGTTAAAGGCTTGGAGGTAGGGAGCCCGTATGTCGAGGCATAATGGTATTTTGGTTGTTATTACCTCAAATGTAATAATTAACTGCCCTGCATGTGTTGAGCTGAAAATATGTTGTGTTGTATTTCAGTAATGAGGAAGTAGAGGGTTTTAACGTTATTCCAACCACTCTGAGTCTGGCACTGCCATGGAAAAGGAGAGATTATGAAACAGATTCTGGAATTACTGCAGTGTTGCTTATCAAGGCAGTCTAAATGTTGAGGATAGTATTTTGGCCCCAAGCCAAAGACAACTGTTGAGAGAATAGAGAAGGTAAAGAGGTGTTGAGGAGTTGCCTTTGTCTGTCTGCATGCCTTTATAATAGGCTTCACCTCCCTGTGCAGACACCCAGAGGTGTGGCAGAATCACCTCCCTGTGCAGACACCCAGAGGTGTGGCAGAATCACCTCCCTGTGCAGACACCCAGAAGTGTGGCAGAATCACCTCCCTGTGCAGACACCCAGAGGTGTGGCAGAATCACCTCCCTGTGCAGACACCCAGAGGTGTGGCAGAATCACCTCCCTGTGCAGACACCCAGAAGTGTGGCAGTATCACCTCCATGTGCAGACACCCAGAGGTGTGGCAGTATCAACTGTTTTCAGTCACAGCCCTGAGCTTGAGAAATGGCTTCTGAGTTGCCTGCCTGTCTGTCTTTGTGTAATAGGGATGGTTGCTCGAAGTGGCCAGCATTTAGTGGCAAAATGGGTGTTCAGGAGTTCCTCTCAGCCATGTCTCCCTAGAATCCACAGAACACACACACACAGCAGTCTTCAGATCAGCGTTGGGTAGATGTGCCGCTGAACTCTCAAATCTGGACCTAATCCTCGGCGACAGCAGCATATTTGCATTCCAGAGGCAGGCACTCTCTTACACAGGAAGCGGACAATGATAAGCCACAAAGTCCATCCATGTGACTCCTTTCTCCCCCTGTATTGTGACTCTAGCCCAGGGATAGGCTGTTTAGAAATGGCCCTCTGTTCTCTATGAAGGAAAATGTGTAACCGCTGTGCTTACATAACCATGGTGATGTAACGGTGGAACTGACACCTGCGGCCGTCTCCGGGGCCGTCTCAGTTTCCTAATGGACCTTAAGGAGTATTAAGACAGCTTGTTAGCCTGGCCTGGATAGAATCTAACAGGCTAACTCACACAGCACAGGCAACCAGTAGTGCTTATTCCATCCTGTCTGGCCAGAGACCATGTGTCGGAGTGGGAAGTGCTGCCTTTAGTTTCACTGCATTTCAGCCTTGGGGTTGGGTTGGGCTAGTCATAGCCCGGGTTGGGTTGGGTTGGGCTAGTCATAGCCCGGGTTGGGTTGGGTTGGGCTAGTCATAGCCCGGGTTGGGTTGGGTTGGGTTGGGCTAGTCATAGCCCGGGTTGGGTTGGGTTGGGCTAGTCATAGCCCGGGTTGGGTTGGGTTGGGCTAGTCATAGCCCGGGTTGGGTTGGGTTGGGCTAGTCATAGCTGGGCTGGGTTGTTATTAGGGAAGGTCATCCTGCTGCACAGTCCCATCTAAATAAGGCTGTATGCTGCCACAGCTCTGCAGGATAAATAAGGCTGTATGCTGCCACAGCTCTGCAGGATGAATAAGGCTGTATGCTGCCACAGCTCTGCAGGATGAATAAGGCTGTATGCTGCCACAGCTCTGCAGGATGAATAAGGCTATATGTTGCCACAGCTCTGCAGGATGAATAAGGCTGTATGCTGCCACAGCTCTGCAGGATGAATAAGGCTGTATGCTGCTACAGCTCTGCAGGATGAATAAGGCTGTATGCTGCTACAGTTCTGCAGGATTGAGGAGGTTCAAATCAAACTTTATTTATAGAGCGCATTTCTAACAGGAAAAGCATTTCAAAGTGCTTATGTAACAGTGTTGCTTCCGTCCCTCTCCTCACCCCTACCTGGGCTTGAACCAGGGACCTTCTGCACACATCGACAACAGTCACCCTCAAAGCACCGTTACCCGTCGCTCCACAAAAGCCGCGGCCCTTGCAGAGCAAGGGAAACAACTACTTCAAGGTCTGAGCAAGTGACGTCACCGATTGAAATGCTACTAGCGCGCACCGCTAACTAACTAGCCATTTCACACCGGTTACACTTTACATAATAGAACAATACAAGGTGAGAAAAACAAACAAATGTTTTCTAGAAGAGACATTAAAATAAGTGGATATGAGACTAATGCATAAAATAAATAATATACTTGAATAGCTAGTATGAGTAAAAGCTGGGCTCAGTGTTATGCTTCTGTGGAGTGGGAGAGGAACTGATGTAGGCAGCTAATTGGAGAAGGAAGCATCAACCCAGTTGGAGGCATTATTTACAGGAAAGACATGGCACCTGTGGGGACGGCTCGCGTATTGTATACATGCAGCCAGAAAGTCATAGCCTGCAGCTGCTTTATTCCCAACTCTAGTAAGCTATTTGGAACAGCACAACCATTCATGCAAGAATAAAACCAAAGGCCTGGGAATTTGAGGGAATTTTCTGCTGTCATTTATTTGATTTTCCATTTTATTTCCGTTGCTAAGGCTTCACCTCCAGTCATACCCTTGCCTAGTCTGACACCATGCCTAGTCTGACACCTTGCCTTGTCTGACACCTTTGCCTTTTCTGACACCTTTTTACATGGCACCCTTTTTTAAGTGCTAAATGGCGAAGGAGAGGCATGTTTTAGTTAAGACTTCTGATGCTAATCTCATGCTCGGGGCCTGTATCCACAAAGCATCTCAGAGTAGGATTGCTGATCTAGGATCAATTTTGCTTTTAGATTATAATGAATAAGATTATATGGACAGATCCTAGATCAGCACTACTCTGAGATGCTTTGTGGATAGGGCCCTCCACCTCAACACTTCTCCTCCTCAACACTTCCATATGGGCTCTCTCCAGGGCATAACATTTTCTTTTGGGTCCATCAGCCACTGTGGCAGGTAGATTTAATAATCTACCAGCCACTCCGATTTTTTAACCAGCCAAAATATTGATTTTCCGCTAAAATTACACCAACAAAACACAACAAAAAACGGATGAGCATGCTTTGTAATGTTTCTAAAACAATGTGTTATTTTGTTTAATTTAATGATTTATGACCTTTTGTGTCATGCACAAAGTAGATGTCCTAACCGCCTTGCCAAAACAATTGACAAGAGGGCCAATTGTGCGCCGCCCTATGGGACTCCTGGTCACGGCCGGACCCCAGGCTGTAGTGACGCCGCAACACTGCGATGCAGTGCCTTAGACTGCTGCGCCACCATTCTAAACAGTGCACCAGGGAAAACACCATTCTAAACAGCGGTTCCATATGCGACAGAGATGAAAATCTCTGTTAGAAACTTAGAAAGAGGGGGAATCTAAAGATGCAACAACTAGGATGGGTTGCTAATATGACTGACTGTGCCTTTGGCTTCTGGACAACAGAAAAGGTTGATATGAAAACCAATAGAACAAGAGAGAAATGGCATAGCGGTGGGGCCAATAGGGAAGTAAATGGAAATACATTTGCTGAAGTTATATAATTACTCCTGTCTATGCAGAAATAAAGCCATTCCAAATACTTCACCACAAAGCATGACTTAGCCACAGAGGAATTGAGGATCATTAGCTTATTTAAAAAAATTGCTGTGGATTGTTTCAAATCAAAAGCTCATAGGCCTATGCCTATTTGGGAAGCCCGCAATTTGGGCAGCGTGTGGCAATAGGCCTAGCTGATTTATTGAGTTGCGGCTGTCTGTGAAAAGCATCTAAAATATGTCTGAAGACAGTGTGTCTTGAGTATAATTTAAAATGTTGAGACAAGAAGAAGGGAAGGGGGATGAAGATCTCTCCAGAATAGCTCAGCTGTCTCCCACCAATTTTTGCGCGTTCATTGTGTGAATTGTTTGCATTTTTTTATTTAAAGAAATATATATAAATTCCCCATTACATGTCACCAATAGTAAATGTACTGTTAATCCCCGTCATTTGGTTACATTAATTTCGGTTAATGCATGTACAATGAGGGGAAAAAGTATTTGATCCCCTGCTGATTTTGTATGTTTGCCCACTGACAAAGACATGATCAGTCTATAATTTTCCTCTGAATCATTCAGATGTTCATTGGCAAACTTCAGATGGGCCTGGATATATGTGCTTTCTTGAGCAGGGGGACCTTGCGGGCGCTGCAGGATTTCAGTCCTTCACGGCGTAGTGTGTTACCAATTGTTTTCTTGGTGACTATGGTCCCAGCTGCCTTGAGATCATTGACAAGATCCTCCCGTGTAGTTCTGGGCTGATTCCTCACCGTTCTCATGATCATTGCAACTCCACGAGGTGAGATCTTGCAAGGAGCCCCAGGCCGAGGGAGATTGACAGTTATTTTGTGTTTCTTCCATTTGCGAATAATCGCACCAACTGTTGTCACCTTCTCACCAAGCTGCTTGGCGATGGTCTTGTAGCCCATTCCAGCCTTGTGTAGGTCTACAATCTTGACCCTGACATCCTTGAAGAGCTCTTTGGTCTTGGCCATGGTGGAGAGTTTGGAATCTGATTGATTGATTGCTTCTGTGGACAGGTGTCTTTTATACAGGTAACAAGCTGAGATTAGGAGCACTCCCTTTAAGTGTGCTCCTAATCTCAGCTCGTTACCTGTATAAAAGACACCTGGGAGCCAGAAATCTTTCGGCGCACAATTGGCCCTCTTGTCAATTGTTTTGGCAAGGCGGTTAGGACATCTACTTTGTGCATGACACAAAAGGTCATAAATCATTAAATTAAACAAAATAACACATTGTTTTAGAAACATTACAAAGCATGCTCATCTGTTTTTTGTTGTGTTTTGTTGGTGTAATAATAGCGTTTAACATGATTTTTAAATGACTACCCCATCTCTGTACCCCACACATACAATTATCTGTAAGATCCCTTAGTCGAGCAGTGAATTTCAAACATAGATTCAAACACAAAAACCAGGGAGGTTTTCCAATGCCTCGCAAAGAAGAGCACCTATTGGTAGATGGGTAAAAATAAAACAGCAGATATTGAATATCCCTTTGAGCATGGTGAAGTTATTAATTACACTTTGGATGGTGTATCAATACACCCAGTCATTACAAAGATACAGGTGCCCTTCCTAACTCGGTTGCCGAAGAGGAAGGAAACCACTCAGAGATTTCACCATGAGGCCAATGGTGACTTTAAAACAGTTAGTTTAATGGCTGTGATAGCAGAAAACTGAGGATGGATCAACAACATTGTAGTTACTCCACAATACTAACCTAAATGTACAGAATATATTTTTTTAAACATGTATCCTGTTTGCAATAATGGACTAAAGTAATAATGCAAAAAATGCGGCAAAGAAATTAATATTTGTGTCACTCTTCATATTTTCAAGCATGGTGGCAACGACTAGGGAGTTTTTTTTTTTAGGATAAAAAGAAACAGAATAGAGCTACTAAGCACAGGCAAAATCCTAGAGGAAAACCTGGTTGTCTGCTTTCCACCAGACACTGGGAGATATTCACTTTTCAGCAGCACAATTACCTAAAACGCAAGGCCAAATCTAAACTGGAGTTGCTTACCAAGACAACATTGAATGGTCCTGAGTGGCTTAGTTACAGTTTTGACTTAAATCGGCTTGAAAATCTATGGCTAGACTTGAAAATGGCTGTTTAGCAATGATCAACAACAAACTTGACCGAACTTGAATAATTTATTTAAGAATAATGGGGAAATATTGTACAATCCAGGTGTGCAAAGCTCTTAGACTTACCCAGAAAGACTCACAGCTGTAATCGCTGGCAAAGGTGATTCTAACATGGATTGATCAGGTGGTTGAATACTTATCTAATCAAGATACACAGAGTGTACAAAACATTAGGAACATCTTTCCATGACAGACTGACCAGGTGAAAGCTATGATGCCTTATTGATGTCAATTGTTAAATTCACTTTAATCAGTGTAGATGAAGGGGAGGAGACAGGTTAAAGAATGATTTTTAAGCCTTAAAACAATTGAGACATGGATTGTGTGTGTGTGTTCCATTCAGAGGGTGAATGGGCAAGACAAGATATGTAAGTGCCTTTTGAACAGGGTTTGGTAGTAGGTGTCAGGCGTACCAGTTTAAGTGTGTCAAGAACTGCAACGCTGCTGGATTTTTCACGCTCAACAGTTTCCCGCGTGTATCAAGAATGGTCCACCACCCAAAGGATATCCAGCCAACTTGACATCGGAGTCAACATGGGCCAGCATTAGAGTATTTTGTGTAGATTGTTGACAAAAAAATGAATGAAATCCATTTTAATCCCACTTTGTAACACAACAAAATGTGGAAAAAGTCAAGGGCTGTGAATACTTTCTGAAGGTACTGTAAAGGGGGCGTGTCTGTAGCACGGTACTTCTCATTTCCCAGTCCAGGGTAATGTGATATGGCTGTCATTGTTAAGTAGCTCTATGTAGCCCTGGAGGTCCATCCATCGGTAGTAAGCGCAAAACAGGGTGCATTGGCCAATTCGTTGACAACTTCAGCTTTAGCTTGCTTATATAGAGCGGGTACTAGCTGTTTGCTGAAATGGGTGCGAGAGGGCGAAGTTTGTAACGTGGCTCGAGCACTTTCTCGACGTGCTGAAACCTCCTATTCTTCTCAACCACTGAGAATGGGCGCGTTTCCGTGGCTATGAACATACCTAGCGCTCTAGTAGTTTCTTTGGCCCGGTCAGAATCAGCTGCGAAGGGCTGTTTGAATGCAGAGGGGAGACTACAGGGGGGGTTCCGTCTTGCTCCGGTGGTAGGAATACTGAGGTGATGTCGTTGCAGTGATTGTAGAGTCTGCTGCTAATATGGGAGGTACATTACATTGTACAAGATGTTCCATAAAGATCTAAAGATACTATAGATCACCACCTTAGCTGCAAATTGTTCAGTGTCCTATGTTTAATCTCTTTCCAATGAGAGAGAGAGAGGGAGAGAATAGGAATGACTAATAGATGTATATTTAAAAAAAGAATTACCCACTTTTTCTCCCCAATTTCGTGGTAACCAATTGGTAGTTACAGTCTTGTCCCATCGGAGCCGTGCGTCCTCTGAAACACAACCCAACCGAGCCGCACTGCTTCTTGACACAATGCCCGCTTAACCCGGAAGCCAGCCGCACCAATGTGTCGGAGGAAACACCAAACACTGTACACCTGGCGACCGTGTCAGCGTGCACTGCACCCGGCCCGCCACAGGAGTCGCTAGTGCGCGATGGGACAAGAACATCCCTGCCGGCCAAACCCTCCCCTAACCTGGACGACGCTGGGCCAACTCGAACCAGGATCAGTGCAGTGCCTTAGACCACTGCGCCACTCGGGAGGCGACTGATATTCTGTCATTGCATCTATGTCTGTGTTTACACAGGCAGTAAAATTCGGATATTTTGCCAATCATTTGTATTTTGACCAATCAAATCAAATTAAGGGCGAGGCCTGGCCAGACTAATCCGTGGAGAATGGACACAAAATTACAACAGATTGATTTTGGTCTGTGCGCGTGTGGAGTGTGGCGTAAAATGCTTGAGTGTGTGGGTAATTGGCTAAACGGATGGTTACGTATCTGTCAGCCCGTCAAAAGTTAAACTCATCTGAACTTTTGGTGCTTTCAAGACAACTGGTAGGTCAAATCATGACGTCAGTGATCTTCAGGTCAGAAAGTCGGAGTTCTAGAAAGATGCCCGAATTTCCGACATGGAATTTCAAGTTGGATGACCGTTCAAAAAGAATTTACCCAGTCTGAGCTAGGTTTTTCCTGAGTTCCCAGTTGTTTTGAACGCAGCATTTTTGTCTGTGAAAATGGATGAACATTTTATGGATATAGATGCGTCATCTCTGATGACCGTCAACGTACGACTCCCATTGAGAATATGGATCAAATCAACGGTCCAGTCTGGCCCCACTGCTTCTTGACACAATGATTCCATTGACTACCCTATCACTTAATATTTTAATATGTCTACATTTTTTGAAAGAATTTTGCAGAATGAAGAATTACTTCATCTGAATTTGACATGGGAAATGGTTCTAGGTAATTCTCAATGTCCACACCGGACGGTTTATGAAATGCTTCTGGCAATGATGGGGAATGTTCCATGGTCTCTCTGTAGTGGGCATTTACAGCTGTCAGTGCTGTCAGGACCTGGTGTTGTAAAACTTGAAGGTTACTTTGACTCCCCATCCATCCACTAGAGACCTTTTTAAGTGTTTGATCTCTTTCTCTATTCAGATCTCTTTAGTAGTCTCCCCCTTCAGTATGTTTAAATGCGCAATGTTTTGGTCTTTGTGGATAAACCGGTCTAATCCAATGGAACAGTGTGAGAATCCTCTCCGCTTCCTCTGGGCTCGGTCTGTTTTTCTGCTGCTACACAACAGCCAGCGGATAGACACCGCTGCCATGAACACACACACAACCAGGAGTCATAACCATCTGCATACACGATGAAGGAGAAGGCCCTGAAATCCAATCAGAGGTGTCAGGTAGCTGTTGCCTTGGCAATGCGGCTGTGACACGGCAGCAGATCGCGGTTGGCATGGAGGGAGGGAGAGACTGTGAGTATGGGCTTTGAGATATCTCAGAATAGGAGGGGAATGCTGTGTCTTCTAGACTGCAGTCAACCAATTATTGGCAAAATATCCAAATTTTCGAAGACTGAATATCAATTAGTCATTCCTATTCTCAGTTAGGTTACCCCACCGAGTCTCCCTCTCCTTGCAATGAGATTAAACATAGCTGCAAATGGTGAATGGTGTGATCTATATTATCTTTAGATCTTTAAGGAACATCTTGTACAATGTAATGTACCGCCCATATTAGCAGCAGGCTCTGCACTCACTGCACCGACTGCAGTGTTATTATCTAGGTACATTTCAAGGGATGTCAACACCACCGATTCAGTTAGGACCTATTCAAGGAACAGCCAGCCTGGCTGAAAAGGTACAGCAGCAACCACTTGGTAAGTGTAACAGATGTCTGCTTTGTTTTTCTAGTCGTTCGATGTTGTACAGTGTACATAGAAAACATCTGAGCCCACATGACCTGTCCTGTACATGAGATGCTTTGTTTGCAGGCTGTCTATATACGTTCTTTGTTGATAGTGGTGCAAAAAATTGTTGTGAGCTTATTGATTCATTATGAGGTCAATAATGGGACAGGTACCGGTATGGATTTTTACAATACAGTCTATAACAATATTTTGATACAGTGCTAAATAAAAGTAAAAGTTCTACAAATTGGACTACTTCACTGTCAGGTTTGTCCTATTTTGGTTGAGTATTAAACTATCTGAACGGTGAAAGCAAATTCATGCTCTCTTCCTCCATGTAGAAATGTGACTGCAACCACAGCGCACAAGCACACACACCCAGGTACCGAGAGTCAGGACCGACAGCAGACTGTCAAACCAGCAGTGTTTCCTTGTCATCGCTCACTTTGTGTCCTATCAATAGATCACTAGAAGATGCATACTATTCATTCTAGCGGGAGAGGGCTCGGCTGACTTTTTTTCTGACTAGCGAATTTAAAAGTAGCCTAGTTAATTTAAGTGGGAAAAGTACCTGGCTGAAAATGATGCTGTAATCGGCTGTATAGCCAACAGCCAGCGCTAGTGGAAAACACTGCCATCAGAAATGAGAAAAATATTGTGAAATGATATTTTAGCCATATTTCCCAGCCCCTCTGTAACCTACATGTTACATAATGTAGTCTGGCTGGCACAGTTTGTAGTGGTACTGCTCCGTCACAGTGTGTCAGAGGTGTCATGTATGATGATACTTCAATCTCCTCGCCTACTTCAATAAGATGACAGCTGTTGGAGTGCCTCTATCTAAAATGTCCCCCAACCCTTCTCTCTCTCTCTCTCTCTCCTGCAGATCACAGAACTCCTGGACGATGACAAATTAGAGGCGTTTGATGAGCTGCCCCAAGATGGCGAGGACGGCCCCCCCCCCGCCTCCGAATCCCCCCAACACAGTAACACCCAGGTCCAGGTCACCCCCTCTTCAAGGTAAGATCAGATAAATAATGACTTTATTATGCCCATGGAAAAATGTGGTTTACAGCTCTGTGCATACATTACAAACATATCAAGCATAGACAAAGGACATGGACAATTACAGACCATAAATACACTGAGAATAGAAAAACGCCTCTAATTTGTATGATTCATCTGTACACTATACACTATACACATCTATACACCCCTCCATGTACTCTTGTATCCTCCCTGGTGTACATACACCCACCTGTCATGTTTCAGTCTGTGGACATGTTCAGGCTGAATATGAGTGTGGCGTGGTATGTCACATTCCAGCCCAGCTGCCTGCTCCACCACATCTATGTTCTTGTATCTGGGAGAAGCCATAAAGATCTCTTACAGCATAATACTATAGGGTCAGCTCAGCTCCCACATGATACAGTCTTACATAATTGGAATCGCCACCCCATTTTTCAATCAGGTGACCCCACATGGGCTTCCGACCCCAAGTTTCAATACACAGAGAAAAATAGTGTCTTAGATCATGATCACGTTTTTCTCATTCAATGCACGGAGCAACATAGGGCTAGTCCAAACAAGACTTTTCCCAGGACCGGGGTAGCAGTGTCTCTGCCAGGTCAAAGCTGCTGTGATCTCTAGTCTCCACTGTGCTAAATGGATAAGAGTGTCTCCTTTCAAATGTCCTGAGGTCTAGACCTGAGAGAAAGTCCTCTTCCCTGGAAGTCTTTGTGCTGATCTCCTCTCTGTTTAGTTCCAGTGCACCTGCACCCACTTTGATATGAGCGGAGCGCCAACAGGGCTGTCGAGCGCTCCACCACAGGGCCACCATACAGCAGCTAAATGTCAGGCTGGTCTGGAATGACAGGCCGGTTAAATCATATTAATGGAGGTAGGGATGGGCATTTGAAACGTTTTGACTGTTCGAGTACTCACAAAATTTAACATAACAATTACAGATAACAAATCCTACTTGCTAAATTGCCCCATAGACACTGAGTGTGCAAAACATTAGAAACATCTGCTCTTTCCATGACATAGACTGACCAGGTGAAAGCTATGTTCCCTTATTGATGTCACTTGTTAAATCCACTTCAATCCATGTAGATGAAGGGGAGGAGACAGGTTAAAGAAGGATTTTGACACAACTGTAGGAAGTAGTGGAGTCAACATGGGCCAGCATCCCTGTGAAGCGCTTTCGACACCTTGTAGAGTCCATGCCCCTACGAATTGAGGCTGTTCTGATGGCAAAAGAGGGTGCAACTCAATATTAGGAAGGTGTTCCTAATGTTTTGTACACTCTGTATTTTCAGTAAAAAATTTTTTGCCATTTTAAGATTCATTTCTTGAAACCGTAATATCAACTGGTTGTATTATATTGTGGAACACAATCTTCAAAAAGGTAGTAACCTCAGCAGTGGCATTGCTTGTAGAAGCCTATGGTTGGGCAAGGGCATAGCCTTGGTCAGATGACGCGGATGCTAAGCTACAGGACTGTTTTGCTAGCACAGACTGGAATATGTTCCTGGATTCATCCAATGGCATTGAGGAGGATACCACATCAGTCACAGGCTTCATCAATAAGTTCATCGATGACGTCAACCCCATAGTGACCGTACGTACATATCCTAACCAGAAGCCATGGATTACAGGCAACATCCGCACCGAGCTAAAGGCTAGAGCTGCCGCTTTCAAGGAGCGGGACACTAATCCGGACGCTTGTAGGAAATCCCGCTATGCCCTCAGACGAACCATCAAACAGGCGAAGCGTCAATATCGGACTAAGATTGAATCCTACTACTGGTCTTGCAAACTATTACGGACTACAAAGGGAAACCCAGCTGTGAGTAGCCCAGTGATGCGAGCCTAACAGACATGCTAAATGTATTTTATGCTCGCTTCACGGCAAACAACACTGAAGCATGCATGAGAGCACCAACTGTTCTGGATGACTGTGTATCACACTCTCCATAGCTGATATGAGTAAGACCGGACAGATTACCAGGACGTGTACTTGGAGCATGCGCCGACCAACTGGCAAGTGTCTTCACTGCCTTTTTCAACCTCTCCCTAACCAAGTTTGTAATACCTACGTGTTTCAAGCAGACCCCCATAGTCCCTGTGCCCAAGAACGCCAATGTAACCTGCCTAAATGACTACTGCCCGTAGCACTCACATGCTTTGAAAGGCTGGTCATGACTCACACCAACACCATCATTCCGGAAACCCTAGACCCACTCCAATTCGCATACCGCCCCAACAGATCCACAGATGATCCAATCTCAATTGCACTCCACACTGCCCTTTCCCACCTGGACAAAAGGAACACCTATGTGAGAATGCTCCAACACCATCATTAAGTTTGCTGACGACAAAACGGTGGGAGGCCTGATCACCGACAACGATTAGACAGCCTATAGGGAGGAGGTCAAAGACCTAGCAGTGTGGTGCCAGGACAATAATAATATAATAATAATATGCCATTTAGCAGATGCTTTTATCCAAAGCGACTTAGTCATGCGTGCATACATTTGTACGTATGGGTGGTCCCGGGGATCGAACCCACTACCCTGGCATAACAAGCGCCGTGCTCTACCAGCTGAGCTACAGAGGACAACAACCTCTCCCTCAACGTGAGCAAGACAATGGAGTTGATTGTGGACGACAGGAAAAGTATTGCCGAACACTCCCCCGTTCACATTGACGGGGCTGTAGTGGAGGGGGTTGAGAACTTCAAGTTCCTTGGTGTCCACATCAACAACAAACTATAATGGTCCAAACACACCAAGACAGTCGTGAAGAGGGCACAACACCTATTCCCCCTCAGGAGACTGAAAATATTTGGCATGGGTCCCCAGATCCTCAAAAGGTTATACAGCTGCACCATCGAGAGCATCCTGACTGGTTGCATCACCGCTTGGTATGGCAACTACTTGGTATCCAACCGTAAAGCGCTACAGAGGGTAGTACGTACGGCCCAGTACATCAATGGGGCCAAGCTTCCTGCCATCCAGGACCTCTATACTAGGCAGCATCAGAGGAATGTCCAAAAAATTGTCAAAGACTCCAGCCACCCAAGTCATAGACTGTTCTCTCTGCTACCGCACGGCAAGCGGTACCGCAGTGCCAAGTCTAGGTCCAAAAGGCTCCTTAAGAGCTTCTACCCCCAAGCCATAAGACTGCTGAACAATTAATCATATGGCTACCCAGACTATTTGTATTTTCTTTACACTTGCTGTTTATTATCTATGCATAGTCACTTTACCCCTACTTACATGTACATATTACCTCGACTAACCTGTACCCCCACACATTGACTCGGTACCGGTACCCCCTGCATACCGTGCATTCGGAAGGTATTCAGACCCCTTGACTTTTCCCACGTTTTGTTACGTTACAGCCTTATTCTAAAATTGATTTTAAAAATAAATCTACACACAATACCCCATAATGACAAAGCGAAAACAGGTTTTTATTTTCCGGATTGACTGACCTTCATGTCTTAAAGTAATGATGGACTGTCGTTTCTCTTTGCTTATTTGAGCTGTTCTTGCCATAATATGGACTTGGTCTTTTACCAAAAAGGGCTACGTTCTGTATACCAACCCTACCATGTCACAACACAACTGATAGGCTCAAACGCATTAAGAAGGAAATAAATTCCCCAAATTGACTTTTAACAAGGCACACCTGTTAATTGAAATGCATTCCAGGTGACTACCTCATGAAGCTGGTTGAGAAAATGCCAAGAGTGTGCAAAGCTGTCATCAAGGCAAAGGGTGGCTACTTTGAAGAATCTCAAATATAAAATATATTTTCATTTGTTTAACAACTTTTTTGGTTACTACATGATTCCATATGTGACAAATAAAAATGGGATTTGATTTAATTTAGCAGACAAGATGCTCTTATTTCCCTGAGCCCTTATCACTGTCAAGTCACAACTATAATATCGTTAAAAAAAACAGGATGTAATATAACAGAATAAAATGGAATAGAATATTTTTCCAAATGGAAAAAAGTTGCAAGTGCGAAGTGATGCGCATCTCGCGTCTGGAACAGTTGTCCTCAAGGAGTGATCATTAGAAACGGGGCTCAATTTGGCGGGTTGAAAAACTATTTTTTCAGGGTTACAAACCAAAATTGGTCTTCTTTCGATATACAGATGTTCTATTTAGTTTATTCTGCTGTTTTGACATTTTAATTTTAATAATTCCATATTGAACACTGCAGGCATAGGCTTAATGATTCTGATGAAAATACGCTCTGTCTTTTATCAAACTAATGTTTTTGCATATTTTCAGTGTGGAACCTGTCTATGTTTAGGGATGTTTTTGCATATTTTCAGTGTGGAACCTGTCTATGTTTAGGGGGTTATAGCCTAGGACAGGGGTATTCAAGGTCGGGAACCAGCTGGTTTTCTGTTGTACCTGATCATTAATTACACCCACCTGGTGTCCCAGGTTTAAATCATTGCCTGATTAGAGGGGAGAAATTTAAAGAAGCAGTGGAAGTGGCTTCATGGTCCAGAGTTGAGTTTGAGGGTCCTAGGCTAATCAATTCTAAATGGCACTAGCAGTTCGCAAAGTAGCCTAAGCGGAAAATGGACAGGACGCAATTATTTTTTAAGCTTCAGCTTGTTAGACAACCAGTCTATTTTTGAATTTGTGATAAAACTGATGTAATTTGGCAAGGAATGTAGCTTGTGTACCCAATCAGCATTTATTTCTGTAGGCCTAACGGGAGCTTGTGTGCGCATTCAGCACGCATGTGTAGAGGGAGTGGTCGGAACACGAGTGAGTGAGAGACACTGAGGGGAAAATAACTAATGTGATGCTTGGTTTCTATTTTGTTATGCCCCGCAAATACACATGTAGAAATGGAACACTAGAGTCAAAGCAAATTAAATTTGTCTTCAAGACATTCACTTTTTTGGGGGGACAAAATGTCATTAGCCCTGTTCGGGCCGCCACAAAACACATTCCACCAAATAGTTTTACAGTATTAGGG